AATAAAAGTGAGGGTGTATTCACACCAGGAAAGTCCGCTAGTTCACTTGCTTTGGTCCGGACCAAATACAGTGTTGATTTTTTTTGTTTGGTGCGGTACGCTTTCACACTGCCCTTTTTGAAAGTGAACCAGAAATTGTAAACAAAACCACACGTGTGCTAAGGTCATCCATTCATTGGAAAGAAATTCTCAAGCAGGGATAAACAGGAAGTGCAAAAACAGGCTAATCATGGAGATCTTTCGTAGTGCAATTTTTATTCTTTTGGTGTTATCAGATACTAACGCAATATGAAGAAACTTATGAGCATCATATGAGACAATGTCATACGATGTTGTAATTACTACTTGGCGAAAATAAAATCTATAGATATAAAATACTTAAAGCATATCGCAATGTTAGTTTAAACATTTAACCTATATAAATGTGCGCTATTAGGTGCATATACAATCGTTTGTGCGGAGAGTGGAAGCTGAAGCGCGCTTCAGGACATCAGTGGAAACAAATGAAATACGCCGTCATTTTTGCTCATAAAGATAAGAATAATACATCGTTTGGAACTGTAAAGGGTCTACTTTTATTTGTGTGCATTCACAATATCAACAAAACGTTGTGCTTTTATAAAATAAATAGGAAAACAGAGGATGTGCTTGCCGTCTCGTCTTGAACAGTAGGCTTCACAATAATGAACCGAAACTCAACGAATTGAGTCACAGATACGATAAATACATATGATAAATAGATCTATAGAAAGCTTTAAATTACTACTTTAAAACGAAATAATTAAAATCGAAAACAAAAACTTTCATTATGTAAACTGTAAAGATGCATTTCTCTCTAAAGGCACGTCCAATGAGGAGATGGCCAGTCATTTTTTTCACACCCATTATACTAGGATGTCTAAAATATTAAAATAAGGAAAAGCCTAAAACCGGCCCGATGTCTTTGTAATTGTATTTGTTGTTCTTCTATTGCATAATAAAAAAAATTAAAAAACCAATGTCGTTGCAGTTTAGGTAGGTAACGTTACTTCACTAGGTTTTGAGACAAAACGGTCCACACACACCTCTCTCATGTAGAGCAAATACATAGATTCGGCGATTTCCAGAAATCCTTGTGCTTTTTCGATTTCATCTCTTCCCGCCCACAAAATGCCGAGCTGATTCTGTCAAAAACACAATACGTACAATCACACACCAGAAGTCAACCACCAAAATACACTGCACATTTATTTACCTATATGAAGCTTTTAGGAGAAAGGGCTCATAAATGCAGTGTATATTACCCGGGCCTGTATAAATAACGAGACGTTCTCCCGTGTCGTTGTGCACTTGTCAATGAGTTTCATGCAGTTCATCAGATGCTGCTCTCCAGCTGACAGCTCCTCGGTCTCTATGTGGTTCACGCCGAGATAGTAATGCACCACCGCGAGCCTCACCGCTCGCAGACCGGCTGGAGAGTCTCCAATACACGTTTTCCCACGTTCATTCCCCGGTTCTCCATCCGCCATCTGCCTGGACTCACCGTCTGCTTCATTGTCAGCCTCGCCCTCCTCCTCCTCGATGTGATTTTTTTTCAACGAACAATGGATTTCCTTCAACAGGTCTCTAGCTTTGTATTTCGATCGGAAAGGGTTGTTCTCAGGGTCTTTTCTCGACTCTATTTCGGAGAGTTCCTGGGCCAGGCGAAATTTCTCGCACTCGGTCCTCCACTCTGTGTTCTGGTTGGCAGCCATGTTTTCTACGAGGTATGATGACAAGTGTTCACCAGCAGGGGTCAGTCAACAACGCACAGCTTCTAGTATTCGTGTACTTTTAATAAACGAATAAATGTAAATATTTATAATAAATATCTTATTAAAAATAAATATTTATTTAATATCACAATTATGATTTAATCACAATTATGTTGCTAGCTATCTCATTTTATTTACTAGCTTCTGATATGGCTGCTTGCATTGCCTTTGTTCAGTCACTGTCCCTTTCTCCCTTCCAGATATTCTGGCGCCATCTACAGGTCAAGCAGTGAGTGTGTTTCACAGACATAATCGGGCTTCTTGCACGTTGAGTTGGCGGATATAACAGGTGAATCATTCTATACATTGGGCCTGTCCCAATACCCACATTTGTGGTCTCTGAACTTGACCACTTGCATGACGTATTTCCTGTATTTGGCCCATATGTTCAACTGCACATGAAGATCTTAAGTGTAGACAAACTCAGAACATACAGTAGTGTTTTTAAAATGCAAATAACGTTTTTACAGAGCTTTACTTTATTTACACATGTTGATTTTCAATACTTTTACTCTTTAAAATAAACCTGTTCCCTGTAGTCACTGTTGTAAAAGACAACACAAGTTAATTGTGGTGCTTCTAATTAAATGATAAAAAGCAGTTGCACTTGCACATGTTTTATAACATACACATTCTTCTCTACACCAATAAAATGTGCAACACTTTATGTTTTACTGCGAAATTATATGTAGAATTGTACAATAATACATTAACACAATGCTATATCTCTACTGGCTGGTTTAAGGTAAGACATAAAATGTTTAACTAGTAGACATTACCATGCTTTCTCATTGATAAATCACAGTACGTTAAAACAGTTGTTTTATATGACATGTTTTCTGAAGTATTATGTTAAAAGCAGCAAATTATGCATTATCTAATTAAATATGCTCTAATTTGCATACATTTCCAGAACAGAAATCTGAACAGTGGACAAAGCCAGGTTCAAAATTATTGTATCATTTTTTGTTGTTGTTGACATTTTGTTGTCAAATTCTGAGTATGGGTCACCGTACTTGGCCACACGTCCTTTCCTTTCCTTCCTTTTAGAAACTGCAAAGTTTGGTGTATGTGTGTAAATGCTACTGAAGTGAAGATTTCTGATTTCATGAGGTAAGACACATGTTGAGAAAATTACCTTGAAATATATGTATTGAATACCAAATAGCCCAAAATTTCAAATTTGAACAGCGCATGAAAAACGAGTGGTTTTGTCTGTAGTGTGCAGTTTGGACCTTCAACCCGTTAGCCACCATTTAAGTCCACTATATGGAGAAAAATCCTGGAATGTTTTCCTCAAAATCCTTAATTTCGTTGCGACTGAAGACAGAAAGACATGAACATCTTGGATGACATGGGGGTGAGTATATTATCAGGAATTTTGTATTCTGGAAGTGAACAGATCCTTTAATTTCAATGTCCCCTGTCCATTTAAGAACATCCTTCCCATGCGGTCTTTACAAAGTGACACTTTTTTTTCCAACACCCACAGTATGATTCTTGTTTTACTTCACTAACTAAAGAACAAGTTCATGATTGTTCTCTTGAGGGTACAACTGAGCAGAGAATAAAACCTCTCATAGGATGAATGACATTTGCAAGGGTTTCTGGTCATGTATCAAAAATCATAGAAATGTTGTCTGTAGTCATAGAAATCATTATAGAAATGTTGCCTATATTGCCTTGCATATTTAAAGTGTAGATACCTTGTGTGTCCTAATTTATCTCCACTTTATTCTCAAAATTAATGTATGTTTCACTTCAACATTTTGCTTAACCTGACTCAAATGTACCTGAAGTGCTGCAATGTTTTAGTTCCTCCTTTTAGTTAATAGTGGGTTAAATAATGTCATTAATAGCAAGGTTTTAAATAGGAACTTTACAGTGGTTTTTGCATTGTTTCTGTACAGAGTTAAATAATTAAAGACCAGTTAGAAAAGCTGTATACTCCCACTGCCATTAACAGCTAGCAAACTGTTCATTGTTTTTAGGGCTCTAAAGTCATCTAGTGAAATAATAATCTAAAACAGGGGGTTTAAACGGCACTGTAAAAAAAAGAAAAAAGAAAAATAAAGTCAGCTGTAGTTGTCTGAACTTTAGCATCATTTTAAGTTTTACAGATTGTACTTACATTTACGGTATAAAAATGTGTATTTTATTATAATGTTAATATACCTAGTTACTAAAATCTGTTTTGTATCTTTAACATATGCTGATAAACACCATGATAACAGAGGTGGTAAAGAGAAAGCCACATGATTAGTCAAAGTTCACCACAGTAGCTTTTCCACAGTTGAGGTAAATACTAATATATATGTAGGAGGTGCAAGATGTTATACACACAAATACCAAACACCATCACTGTAACACACAAAATAATGCAATAAACATTAATTCAACAATATTACACAAAACCCTGATGTTCATAACTGATAAGAAATGTCTAGTTATTTCAATGAAAAACCATCAAATGAGAGGTGTCTCACAGAATTTCTGGGAATATCAGCTACAAGATGACTTGTTCTTTTTCTTTTCCAAAAACTGTACATTTAACAGTATTTTACTGTAAAATTACATCAAATGACCCATTTGATCTATTACAGTTTTTCACTGTATAGAGTAAGGAAACCTACCGTTAACCAATTAACAGGTTTTGATTGTAGATTGTAGCATTTTTACAGTATTATACAGTCTAATTTATTATTATTATTTTATTTATTTATTTATAAAAAGCATTTTTTAGTGTGGGGTCCGTGAAAAATTTCAGACAGAAAAAGAAAAAAAAGAAATTACTATGCCATGCACTGAACTTGTGAGTGTTCTGGCTGTTTTAAATATAAGCTACATTATAGTTTTACTTAACTTCTGTTTTTAACTTGTCTGGGAAATTTTCTTTCTTTTTTACAGAGTCACAACAGCCTACAGCAGCTCTGGCTATGTGAGTTTAAGCAGTTGCTGTGTATTTTAGGAAGTGACGCTACCACCCACCATCAGGAAATGGACTGTTTCTTTTAGTAGATGTAAGTCATGAGCTGAAGGCTAAATCGGTCTTATACTGCAGTCATATATGCAAAGTATTTTGATCAGAAGCTATAGACCGAGAACGGAGGTAAATGGAAAGCCAATGTGGAAAGGTGCAGCCACTATACACCACCTGAAGAAAGGCACTGTTTATTACAACATGGCAGTCTTATCACAAGAAACAAGGTGAGTCATTTTTAAATAAAGATCTCATTTATTGCCATTAAAATATTACGACTGAACAAACAAAATCTTCTTGGTTTGGTCTTTAGGTTAAGAATTGTTGTTTTGAATTCTTTTTAGAATTTAAATAGATTACTGACAGAAGTTTTGTTTTTTGTTTTTTTTGTTGTTGTTGAAAATGATAGAGATGACATGATACAAAATAATAATTTTGGTGAAAGCAATAAGGAAGTTGAAAAAAAAAATCTTTCTGTATTTTTGCTTTAACATTCATTGACTTTGTGGGAAATAAAATTCTGCATATGATATAAAGTTGCTTAATTGCATCTCCTTTCAGAGAATGAGTTTCTGTATATATCTACTTGAAGTGTGTGCTCAAACTCAATACAAAGTCGAATGTGTTCAGAGGGGTGCTGTTGATGTACTCTGGAAAACCTAAAGTAGTTTCAGGAAAAGTGAAGTCTCCTCTGACAGGTTACATCACAAACAGGACAGTCACACAAATGTGAGTGACATGCTAAACAGGGTTTGCACTGAAATGTATCTTTAACCATATTTGATCACTTCTGTTGTGTTGATGTGGGTCGTATAGTGGATGTTATTTCATGGTTAGCAAGCCTGATTCATAAAATTCCATTGGTAAATTCTTCATTCATATTATGTGTTTAACCAATTTTATTTGTACACCGACACTATGTCAGAGTGCCATTTATAGAGCATTTTAGGAGACAAAAGATGACTAATTACCAACTTATTTCTCTATCATCCTAAGACAAAACGTGTCTAGCTCAATCAATAATGTAGCCCCTGCAACATGGCTAGCATTCAGTTCTTCACTAATTCATTAATCAGCAAATAAACAAGCTCTTTGGAGTATACTTTGGTTAGATTTGAATGCAAGCAGTTCATTTAAATTGCAGTTTTGCAGAAGAAAACAATGATTTTGAGTTTCCTTCACGTTTACATAAACTGTAAAAAATATTTTTCGAACAAAGATTATTGGAGTGTGTTTTTTAAGAAAATTTCAGTCTTTCTACTTCAAATTTTCATGTTCAATTCAATGTGTTTCTTGCCTTTTCTTTGTAGATATTTATGACATTTTTGAGTTTTGAGGAAATTTCTGAGTAAAAATCGTTTCAAAGTAATTTTTTTACAGTGTAACTTTTAATTGTGTTAATTGATGAACCAAGAAATTATTTTAAATTCTTAGTAATTCTTCTATTTATTATCCATTGTTTTGCAGAACAACCTGGATACTCCACAATGTGTGAAGTGTTAATTGTCCATACCAGTGAGGCCAGGGAATGGGCAGAGTATCTACAGCAAATATTGGTAGCATCATGTAACTTTCTGGAGGGCTCCCTCATTCTGTATGATGTGAATGAAGAGATTTGGATGAAAAACCATGAGCTGTTTGGCTCCAGCAAGTGCATCATGCTTTTGCTGTCTGCTGCGTTCCTGGACATGCAGCACGACCCAGAAGTGCAGGACACTTTCCGGGATCTTCTTCAGCCTCCTTGCAAAGTTGTTGCCTTTTTGTGTGGTATATCAGAAAGGCAAGTGTCAGCGGACTATTTTGAACACTGGGAGCACTGGAGAAAGCTCAATTCAGAAGACGAGCCATCAGTATATGTGTCTACTGTCCTTGAGTGCATTGATAATGGTGTGTATTCCTTATACTTTATATATAGTATACGTCTCATTCAGCAAAAGAACATATAATTACTTGCACTGTTGTTCACCTTTAATAACAACAACAATAATAAAAATACTAAGATGTCCTTAAAAGATATGAAACAGTAACATAACTCCCCTGCAGACTGACACACACTGCAAAAGAGTGCATATGAATACAATTGTAAGAAATATGTGTTATATTCAACTGTAGATTTGTATATTCTTATTATTTTTATTTTTTATTATTTATGTATTTTTTACTTTGTTTTTTTTATGTACCATAAATAGTTCTGCATGGTGGATCATAATTAATTTGACTAAATACATAATCTTACAGTTGGCCTGAAGTAATTATAGTCTGTGCTCTGTAGTCTATTTTATTTAATTATTTTATTTAGAATAAATATTTTTTGCATGGTGGATCAGAATGAATCGAACTAAACATTAAGAAGTCGACCGGAAGTAAAGTTTAATATGTTATTTTTCATTCTAGGATCTGTTAGTGAAAATGGCCAGAATCCATATGAAATTGAACTAGAAGAACAAATGAATGCGTTCACATTATCAGAGATTCCCGAGACATTACCTGATGAGACGGAACACATTCAGGGGATTGGGGATGATGTTTGTCATACTGAGCAAACTTCTTCAAATACAATGGGGCCAATAGACGACCAAACTTGCCTCACTATCCAACCAGACAGAATACTATGTGGGGTAAGTGCATTGCACACAATGCATGCAGAGCCTAAATAGAAAACTTTTCTAAGAATATATAGTGGTAATGTCAGCAAGAAGCTCACATGGTTTGAGTTCACACCTTTTAGTGCTTTTCAGATTAGACAGGAAGTCAGTGCAAGGCCCGTCTATGAAGCTTGATTTAGATAATTTAAGTCATTCTTAATTCAGTGACATGTTAAAAGAAGGATGATGTAGCAGCGATGGGTGATAAAATGACTAAAACGATATTACAGCTGCCCATGCTGTACTTTTTAAGTAATTCACTATTGAAGTTGTCGTCTTCATAGACTATGTTTGTTCCTGCCCGTAGGGTGATTTTACAAATCACTTAAATACTCCACCAAGTAGCTTTAAATCAATCGATTTGATTATTTGAGAATGTAATAAATCAAAGTATGCCTAATTTAATTGAATGGATGAAGAGATATTTTTATACAGTATGTCTCGTGGTGTGGACATTTCAATATTTTAGTGTACATGGCTTAAATAATGTCAGTGTTCATATTTTAAAAACTATGTTTTGACTCTATCGGCTTTTTTGAAAAGTATTTTGAATTTTGTGAAATCAAAGAAGTTTACACTGTAACAAAATATAGCTTCAGCATTTCATTCAAAAGCATTTGCTGACATTTGCGGAATCAACATCAATCGTCTGTGTTACTCTATGTCAGTTACTGTCTTTGACATGGTCTCATGTCTTTCTCACCATCTGTTCGTTCCCATAAAGAATCGTCTGAATATTTATATAATCATGGTAAAGAAAATTGTGGATGAGGGCAGACTGGAGGTGGAGTTTCACTCTCAGTACTCGACTCCTCAGCGGATCCCTGGGACTCTTGTAAACGAGTACATTGTTACTGTACAGTCACCTGGTAAGACAAAAACACAGAAAGAGGAACTTTTCATTTCAGTTCCTCCATGCTTTTTCACTTTCAACTGAATTTACATATTGTTTCCTGTTAATGTGCTCATTTATTAAAAGAGAAGCTTTGTCTTTGTCAAATTTGTGTTTGGCTTTGTTAGTGTTGTTTTCTAAACAATATTTTTTTTCTCTCTTAGATATGCCAGCTGGGAAAGTCTCATTGACTCTTTATAAAAACGAATCTGTGGTCTGTTCAACAACTGTGACATATTACACAGAAATGGAGGAAATTTGCAGGTATCTAAAGAAAGCAATGGATCCAATGCAGTTCATGTGTCAGGTAATGATGAAACTGAATCTAAGCAATCGGTTCAAACGGAACACCTGAATCACATAAACTGAAATGACTTGTGAACGAACGTGATAATGGAATCAAACAAATCATGTCATGTTTATTTGCATAGCGCTTTTTCATATTTATTGTTTCAAAGTAGCTTCACATTATTATGCTGTTGTGAAAAATGTAATGTCTCATAATTAATTAATTATTAATATTATAATAAAATTCATAAATTAAATGATTTAACACATTAAATTATATAATATGTAGTCATTTTGTCAAATATCTGTGACAGCGTATCGGCCCCACAGGTGGTCTGATCTCGTACAGATGCCTGAGTAGCAACACACAGCCCTGAATTCAGCAATGGAAGATGCTTTATGTAATTTGTCGTTTAGTCAGTAACAATAAAAAAAATAAATAAAAATGAAGTCAATTTTAGACATTTTAAGAGTTTATGCGAGGCAGCAGGAGCAGAAGTAAACATTTCATTATCATTCATTAAATGTTAACATGCAGACAATAATGTTTGCCCTTTTTAAAAATAGTTACAGAAAAGGACATTTCATTCAATTTTTATTTTTATTTTATTATACTCAATTTTCAGGCATTTGATATCACATCAAAGGTGCCTGAGTCATTGGATAATTTGCTTGCAGACTCTCTGGAAGAACGGATGCCTCTAAATGGATTACAAGTTTTTGGAATTAGTCAAATTGCAGATAACACACCAGCGAGTAAGTGATTTAATTCATAAGAACTTGCTTATGTTATAGTTTATAAAAGTCTAGCTTATGATGAATATCTTTAATGGAGGTAGATAACATAACACCAAGTTAAGGAACTGGTGTGGATGGTTAATTTTTATTTTTTATTTTTGAAGACTGCAGGAAACTCTATTGAACAACAATGAAAAGAGATTTCTTTGTTTTCAGATCACCGTAATGTGGAACTTCCAACACTGCTTCACTTCTCGGCCAAGTATGGCTTAAAAAAGTTAACGTCTTTGTTAATGCGGTGCCCTGGAGCCATGCAGGCCTACAGTGTGATGAACAAAGATGGGGATTACCCTAACAAACTGGCCGAGAAGAGTGGCTTCTCTGATTTAAGACAGTTTATGGACGAATATGTTGTGAGTTAATTGCGTAAATGTTCTTGATGACTTCTGTAACTGACAACAAATTGTAGTAAACTGTAAAAAATTTCATTGCACATAACATTGGTAATGGAAATGCAATGATGTAATTATGTTATATAGGTCTGTTAATAATCATCAGCATACATTTATACAGCAGTATTTCTATGTATCTTCATTTCAGTATAGCATAGATGATGCCAGTTATTTATGCAATCTTTCTTTTCTTTTTTCATAAAACAAAACAGGAGACAGTAGATTTAGTGAAGACCCACATGGAGGAATCTCAGAACACCTCTGGCAACGAGGATATCTATGAGGACATGTTGATGGCTTCCCAAAATTTCATCACCAATTTCGATAATGAGGACATTTACGAGTCTATGATGAAACTAAATCCTGAGATGGGTTTGTGTATGAAATTTACTTTCGAAACTCTAGTCTAGTGTATTTTTTCTTGCACAGTAACAATAGTCATTACTGCATAAAGTTAAAGCATTTCTTTTATTTTTTCGAGGCATATTTTGTTACTACTGCTAACCTATGAATATATAATATGATAATATAATGTAAGCATTGTAAGACTTGTTTTATAGGCCTACTGTCAGATGGTTAAGGTATGTACTGTAAACTGTATACAAAATTGTTTATACAATGTTTCTACAGATGATGACTTAGAAAGTGCTCTGGAGGACTCCAACTCGGAGACAATACTGAGAAAGTTTTTTGAAGGTACATCAATGAGAAACGATGGTCATGTCACAGCAGTTTTTTGTGTGACTGTGACTTCTGTCACTTTTTTCTCGTGTGATGACACCTTTCATCTTGTCTTCCTTTAAACATATATACATCTGTGAATACTCTCTTTACTTATTAAAAAGCCTATTACTTAGAATTATCACCAAGTGTACAAAAATTTTGTAAAGGCTTACAATATTATCCTCATGTTTGTAACGTAACACCTGGAAATGGTTCAATTAGCTTAGCCAACTTAGCTTATTCTGCTAATATGTATTTGAACCTATCTGCCACAGGATGTAGCTTGTTTGCATAGTGCGTAGTTGCTAATATATGGTATTTATAAAGATGTACACTGGTACACAAATGGTATAAACCATTCTTGGATGCTGTATAGTTTGCAGTTGTCAAATAACATGAATTGTTTTCATTTAGCACAACCTGACAAGAGTTTACAGTCCTTGGAACATACTTCAATCAATGGTGGATTACCTGAAATGGATGATGAAGAATACCATGACATGGGCCTTAATGCGGAAATCTATGGGGATGTAGAAGAGGAGGACCCGTATAACCCATGCTGCCCTGATCAAATTTATGACACAGTGGAGCCACAATCCACCTCTGAAATAATCAACCGTCCACCTGCACCGATTCCACGACCAGTCAACCTGCCAGAGCCAGAAGAGAACACAACCTACATTTCCAAAGGTTATTATGCAGACACAGCTAAACCACCGTGCAAACACAGAGGCTCTAATTTTAGTGTAGCATCATTTACTCTCTCTTATATCATTCTAAGCCTGCATGACTTTCTTTTTTCCTGTGGAATGTAAGAGAAGATATTTTGAAGAATGTTGGTAAATAAGTAGTCCCAGTAAAAGTCAGCGGGAATCCACATGGTTATCAACATTCTTCAAAATATCTTCTTTTGTATTTCACGGAAGAAAGAAAGTCATACTGCACAGTTTTGGTACGATATGAGGCTGAGTAAATTATGACATAATTTTAATTTTTGGTTGAACTATTCTTTTAATGGAAATCTTAAGTCAGAAAACAGTACCTTTATAGTAATTTCAGTTAAATTTGACCTGTTTTACAGTATTTTGTCTCAAGGAACCTGTATACTCACTCAGTCAACGGCCAGAAAGGGATTCCTCTTTAGGTAGTGTATAAAAGTTTCTTGAACCATATGTGTATATGAATTATGGATTATTAAATTGAAAGTACACATACATTTCCATGCTTAAATTATCCATTCTTGCAGCACCTGTACGGCTGGTGAGAGACAGAGACATGAGCAGTCACCATGACCCCTTTGCAGGCATGAAGACCCCGGGACAGAGGCAGCTCATCTCTCTGCAGGAGAGGGTGAAGGTGGGTGAGCTGACTGTGGAAGAGGCAGTGCAGGAGTTCAAGGCTTGGCAGTTTGATCAAGATAAAAGATGGCGCTCTCTCCGCTTCCAGCAGGTAAGTAACTCCAGGTCAAATTTTTGCATATGTGTTGCATGTAAATCAATGAGCTCTTTAGAAAAGTATAGTGAACTACTTATATAAAATGCATATAAATGTTGCCACTCTGTACTTCCCAATAATATCTTATTAAGATTATATTTAAATGCTTATTTTTATAATCAAAGCTCTGTAGTTTTTATTGTGGGAGGCAAAACATATAATTCAACAATACAATGATGATTGAGCGATACGAATAAATGTTCCTTAAAAACCTGATGTGTCATATTTGATACATTTTAACATTATTTTTCTAAAAAGCGCTGTGTGGATAATTAGATAAAGTTGCTTCAGTCCAGTAGGTGTTCATCTTGAAATATTACTAACAAAATAAAGTTATTCTTACATTTAATTTATGAAAATCATTAAAGATTTCACAGCAAAATGACTCCTGTATTACAACCTGTAGGATGACTATTTTAAAATTATACTTAAAGACCTTTTACTTGCTAAAAAAAAGTTTGAACTATCAATCAGAAGGCATGTAGTAGATTGTGTACAACAGGTTTTTACAGCAAAGTTTTGATCATGCGGATAATTAGAGACCTTGCATATCAAATTCGATGTTAACCCTAAATAGGCTTAACAAATAAAATGAGTATCTCTGATGTTTCTGTAACCGTCTCTCCATTTTCTTCAAGGAAAATTTACAAAGATTAAGAGACAGCATCACTCGACGCAGTAAAGGCAAAGGGCCAAACGGTAAGGAAACGCAGGACACCTTTCATTATACAATATACTCATAAGTGGTTAACATGGCATTAGAATGTACAAGAAAAGTTTACATATTACTCTTGGGGCTCAACAAAAAGTATGAACTAATGGCACATGGAAAGTGTAAAATAATTTTAGCCCCTAGTCCATTTAAAATTATGAATTTATTGCTGTCCTGGAGTTACTTAACTCTATAGTTTTCACCTATATTTGCAAAGAAAATAATTGTTAATTGTGTTCATTTAAATTTTTAATCTATTTTAAATATATTGTATAAAATATTTTTGTTTCTGGCACATAAAAATAACAAACATGAATTAAATGCATATTTTTTGTGGTGGTGCCATTGAAAATTATTGTTAAATTTTGTGACATTTAGCATTTAGAATCAAACCAATTTTATGTCTGTTTTCAAGTCTTTCTGTTTTTCGATTAGAGCTTATGATTACAGCACCAATGCAAACAAACAGTCAGTGGGGTTCTCAAATGAACATGAATTGCTCAGTGTACGAACCCACACCTCGTTCGATTGCCCAACCCCCTCCTGTTAGTAGACCGCTGCAGAGAGGAAGCTGGCAGACAGGAAGCACCTCCAGCACTTCTAGTATGTAATAAATAACTTCTTTAATCTCACACAATAACATCTGATATAACTGTGAACAGAACCATGTTTACAAGTATGGTGTGTTTCTACAATGTAATTGTGAAGGTTTGACCTGTGCAGGTAGTAGCAGTCACAGATTGAGCATTCAGAGCACCGTCAGCAACAGCAGTGAGGTGGAAGGTGAATGTGAGGTCAGTTTTTTTCCTTTAATCATCATCAGAGATTCCTGAACAAAGAAGTATCATGGTTTCTTATTCAGAATTGATAATTATAAGGAATGAAAATCAACAAATTAGAATGATTTCTGATGGATCATGTGACACTGAAGGCTGGAATCACGGCTGCTGAAAATTCAGTTTTGCCATCACAGGAATATATTATATTTTCAAATATATTCGATCAGAAAACAGTTTTTGTTTTTAATTATAATAATATTTCATAATATTATTGTATTTTTGATCACATAAATATAGCCTTAGTGTCTTCTTCCAAAAACATTAAAACATTTTAATGATCGAAAAACTTTAATACATTATACATTAATACATTATTGTAATATTAAAATATACTGGCATAAAGTATTTTAGCTTAGGTTGTTATAGTAGAAATTTTGATTTTACATCAAAATATTTTCCTTAATAGCAAATATTAACACATTCCAAGAACTTATTACACCTTTTTATTTATTATTATCTTTTTAATGATCATATGTCTTGACCTTAATGGTTTAAGGAGCCTCCGGACATTCCACTTCCTCCACGGCCTACCCGGCCCGTAGTGGATACTCCACCAGTGCTCCCTCCACCCAGGGTCCCACCACGTGTAATAGAGAGGTACGTGTTTAAAATGGCTTTTACACAATACCAGGTAAAAGCAACTGTGTTGGAATCAGAAAAGACAAGCATTTTCTGTCATAGCTCTATTGTAAAGTATATTTCAAACTCTAAGTAAAAAATACATATACTCAGGAGTTATGAACATGTACATAAATGTATATATAGAGAGTTGTGGCTTTGATTAGTTTTATTTTCGAAACGTTTCTCTGCGAGAATGTACCAGATGACTGGATAAAACATTGTAGGTGAAGCGAAGGTGGTAGTGTATGAAACTCATACACCTCCCCATGTGACAAACCACAGCATCAATCGCTAAACTCTTTTAACCACAACGCCGGATTTTGCGAAGCTTAACTTTCCATCAGTAATTTGATCATATGTAGAAGCATCAACCTTTAAATCTTATAAAGACGGAGTGTAGGTTCTGAATGCACTACATCTTCACCAGCTAATATACACAAACACAAACATCAGAGGATTGGTATCGTGTCAGAGAGGGGGTGAGGAACATCTGCACTCTGATGTGGGTGCCACATATCCTCTGCTAATTCTCGCCTAGCTGATGGGAGCTATGATAAATTTAGAGAAGTTATAGAAAGGTGTGCAATCTGTGCACATCCAACCTAGATCTAGAACTGTGCCTTTTAAGGAGGCTATAAATGGTTACATATATGCAGAAAAGACAAAACCAATCAACATTCAGTATGCAAATCAGTGTAAGTCGAAGGGAGATTTTCAAACTTAACTTTCTTGGTAAAAAACAAAATATATATTTTGATCAGCATACAGCTAACATACGCTACTATTCAAAGATTTGGGATGAGCTCATAAAAAATGAATAATAGAATAAAAGAAAATAATAAAATTAAATTGTGTTCTTTTGAACTTTCTATTCATTAAAGAATCATAAAAGAAAAGTATGTACAGTATCACAGTTCCCACAAAAATACTAAGCAGTGCAACTGTTTTCAAAATTATAATATTAAGAAATAATTTCTGAAGGATGACGTGTCTCTGAAGACTGGAGTAATGGATGCTGAAAATTCAGCTTTGCCACCATGGGAATAAATTACATTTACAAATATTTTCAAATAGAAAACAGTTGTTTTAAATTGTAATAATATTCAATATAACTATTTTACTGTATTTGTGATCAAATAAATGCAGCTTTGGTGAGGATAAGAGATAAAAAACTCTTACAGACCCCAAACTTTCGAACAGTAGTTTTAGGTTAAACAGTTCAGGCTGAATTCACTGTTTAATATTTGGGGATAGTCATCCAGAAAAAAAACCCCTCAACATATATTGATATTAATTTATTAGGCTACATAAGTTTAATAGTTGTAACCTATTTCCCTGGTTTGTCTGGAGCTCAGTTTGTATATTGCTCATTTTAAATTTAACCCGCTCTGTCTCTTAGGAATCCAGACATACTAAACGAGCGATATGTATCGACTCCATCCCGTCCTGTTCATCAGACGCCTGCGCAAAGGTCCATGCCACCTCCACCTATACCGAGACGCACATGGTGAAGGCCTGCTTCAGCATGGCTGGCTTTCGTTCTGTTTGACTCTGCACTTTTCTTGTTGAGCCTTTGAGATCTGTAAGTCTCTTCAAGGTGGAACAGAAACTACTGGCTGTGTCCGAAACTGAAGACGGCTCATTTCCTCCCCTACACTGTAAAAAAAATTCTGTAGTTTTTACAAAATAATTTTGGCAGCTGTGGTTGCCAGAATAATTTTGTAAAAAATACAGAAAAACTGTAAACACATTTACGGCCAAAAACTGTAAATTTCACAGTAAAAAACTGTAATTTACAAACAAGAAAATTTGAATGTAAACCAGTAAATTCAACAATGCACACTGCTATTAAAATCTGTTTTGTACCTTTAACATACTGACAACCACCATAATAATGCAGGTGGTAAAAGAGAAAGCCACATGAAGAATCAAAGCTCATCACAAGTAGCTTCGCCACAAGCAGAAGTATATACTAATATATAGAAGGTGCACAGAGTCATTCATGCAAACACAAAACACCATCATGGTAACACACATGATACTTAAATAATGCATTAAACTTTCATTAAACAACAGAAGATGTAACATAAAGCCCAAATATACATAACTAATAACAAAAACTATTAAAAAAACATGATTATTTAAACAAAATACCTTAAAATGTGGAGTGTCATGCAGGGAATTCGGGGTATATCAGTTTACAGTTTTTGACTGTAAATTATACATTGATTTGTTATTTTTCCTTCTAAAAACTGTCAAATTAACAGCATTTTACTGTAAAATTACATGAAATATCTGGTTAGATATTTTACAGTTTTTCCCTGTATATAGTACGGGAACTTACTGTTAACCTATTAACAGTTTTTTTTTACCAAAATTTTACAGTTAAAATTACACTTATTTTTTACAGCGTAGCAGTCAGTGACCATACAGAGGTTTTGCATGAAGGTGACTCTTAAGGAAACTGGTTTGCCATTTATATTATTTTTACCAACTGCCATCTAAGTAGAAAACAGGATATTATGCAAGCATCAGATTCAGAAGTCTTGAAGCTATCTTATTTTTCATATACTGCCTGTGGTTTCAGACACAGCCAGTGGATCAGTATCCAGTGTTCAAGTGTTTTAATCTAGACTCAACTTGCAATGCAAACAATCACCTTAGTTTATAGGTATTAAAATTATAAATCTTCAGCTGAAGATATGCAATATGTTTGAGTTTTTTTTTTCTTCGTATGGTCACTTGTTTGCAATATAGCCATTTGGTTTGTGCTCTCTGAGTGCCTTTAGTAGCAAATAGCAAACTCAAGAATTTGCCTACATTTGTTTTCAGAACTTTTTTCTGTTTGAAATATAGTTTGTGTTGGCTGTGATCAGTCATGAGATGATGAGATTTAATGTTGAATAGTTTTCTGCGTTTTAAAAATATTTATTGATGTATTCACTTATTATTGCTGGCTCTAATATATCACCCCAAAAGAAGCAGAGAAACAGAAGCAGAGTGTATTTAACAGCATAAAAAGTGTGAATGCACAGTGTGAAGAAGGAAGATGTGTGTTTTGTGTGTATGTATTTGTTTGTGTGTGTGTTCATGTTTGGTAGACCATGAAGACAAAACTAATTAAAGTCTTTTCTGCCATAATGTGTTGTCCTTCTTCTTTTTATTTTATTTTTATTTTAACTTTTTTTTTTAAGTCTGTTAGGCTCTGTTTGTAAATGCTTCCCTCAGTATAGCGGAGGTTTTTGACAAGTGCACATATTTACTGACAATAAGTATTTAGCCTACCCAATGCACATGAAACATGTTTTATCTTTTGGCTTAGATAATATGCTAAAAATTCCATTTGCAAAATTATTTAATTCTCAATAAATTAGCTAAATATTTGCTTCTTGCTTAATAAATCTCATGTCAATCTTAAAAATGACTTTTTCGCCAAATCCTGTGAATGTTTTTATGCGTATCATTATAATTAATTATATTAAAAGGATTTTCTTTTGATTATTATTTTAAAAATCTACATTTACTTTCATTTTAATTTTTTACCTCATCTATAAACTATAGTGCCCTGGGACCACTAGAGGGCCTCGGCAAACTTCCAAGGGGGGCGCAAGACTACTTAAAATATTTTAAATAACTTACATTAAAATAGTCTAACTTATTACCCAAAAACGCTAAAAATGATTATTTCCAGCATCATTTTTATTGTTGCAATTTAATCTAAACTAGGAATTTATTAACTAAATGTAATGTGTAGCCTATCATTTAAATGTATTTTTGTTATTGTTCTTTAAAATGTGCGCTGAAAATGCACCTTTGCTAAAAGATAAGATTGATTAAACGTCTGTGCCTCTACGGAACGCCCCTCTCCTCCCACTCCAGTGATATTGTGATGAGAGCGTGAGAGGCTCCACGCTCGGGCGAGCGGCGTGCGGTGACCGTCACTGAATTGCAGCGTTATCAATACGGAAACCTGGACTGCTTCCTTAGAAAGGTGAGTATTACGCAACGCATGCTTCATTCTCAGTCAGATTCCCAGTATTCGACTACTATTAGCCTACTATTATTTGGCCCAGGGTTTTAATATAATAAACCGCAGCGGCCATCCATTGCAGACAAATGTGCAGTGCAGAAGTACGGCAGCGTGGCTTAGTGTTTCAGTTACTTCAGCACTAGTGATATTATTATATAGTGATAATTTTATGGCTATATTGGCGGATGTAAAGGGTGAAACTATGAATTGCAGTGCTTATTGAAAGCACAAGCGTTTATGAATTGTCCGATAAAAGGAGATCGGATAGAGATTGTTTGTATTCTGCAGAAAAAGAGATCTGACTTCGGCTGCACTTGACATCCAAATAAGGAATAGGATTGACTGAATATGCGGAGGGAGCAGGACAGTGTGAAACGATCTTCACGAGTTTAACAATCGCATTGTAGATGGCTTGAAAAAATAAATAAACTGGACACATAAGACAGTTTATCCAGATCTTAGTGATATAACTGCCTGTATTCACGAAGATGAATGTAAGGACGAGTATAGTAGTATTGCAGTGTATGCGGCAGATGTATACAGTAGTATGTTTGATGAGCTATGCAGAAGTGGGACAATTTTTGGTCGATTCGTGATGGAGCACAGATAAAAGATTTAAAAAGATAAAAGATTATAGAGATAAAAAAATAAAAAATTTTTTCCATCTTAATTTGATTTGTGGAACTTGTATAAAGTCTACCAGCTCAGGTGGTCTACCAACTAACCTTATCATGGTCTGCCAGGTCAACCTCAGTCTCACAGGCTGGTAGTTCATCTAATCCATCATCTCTAGACCATAAATGATCAGCATAATCAAGCTAGAAGCCAAGCAGTTTTTCAGAAATATATACTGTTGGTAACTAGCCTTACAGTTTGCATATAAAAAAATAATAGTAATAGTAAAAGTATAATGCGGGTGATTTCTATTCTTTATGCAACATTTGTTTCAATTGTGTTGTTTGTCACTTTTGCTGATGTAAACTTCCCATAATAAACTGTCCACCACAAAGGCAATACTTTAACAATACTTTATACTTTAACCAACATTCTAAATCCCTTGGAAGAATGAAGAAATTATAATTATTTAAATTGAAGACTTAAATATTCTTAATATTTGTTCTTTTATAAGATTATTTAACCTGGTTAACTTACTTTATAGGAATTGTTTTTAAAGATTTGGTTGTAAACCAGAACAATGTGCAAATTCTTTATTTCTCAAAGGGCTTGAAAATCAGGTATATAAACTTATTGACATAACTTAATAACATACTTTTCCTTCTTTAAAAATAGTTTAGTGGCATTAGAGACTAAAGTGAAATAGGCTTCTGTATTGCCTACCGCTTAGTTTTTATAAATGTTAAATAAACTGCATCGTTCATCAGCATGTTTTCCTACAACAATTAACACAAGGCAAAATGTTATAACTAGTTCTGTTATGTTCCTTATTATTATAATGTAGTTGTAATGCAATTGAAGAACACTGACTAGGGGATTGTACAATGGCAAAGAAAAGAAAGAACATCTCACACCTTAAAACACACCCTGTGAAAATTTTCAGCTCAGATGTTTCAGCTCAGCACCTGTGCCAGACCTACATGATGTTACCCTCATTTTCTGGCACAGGAGATATGCAGTATTTCAAGAGGAAGTGAACAACATTAAAATCTTAAGTAGGTGAGAAACTACAACATTTGTGAGAAGATCCTGCCAGCGTCTTTGGTAGCCGTCTCCTTACAAAGATAATGAATAATTTGTGTTGGCTGCTTAATATTTTATAAGCTTTCTGTAGAATCATATTACTGTCTAGTGTGGTGAACAGGCACCCAAAAGATTGGTGGTGAAACACTGTCTAAATGAGTTTTCTTCTGAATGAGTTGATAAAGTAATACATTTGACATTGGTGATCTTATAGGATCATCAGGTTGTTACATATAGAGAGGCCATGATATCTCAGGATTTTAAAGTATTTTTATAGCTCTGTAAGCACTGATAATGGCATAAAAGTTTTTATGCAGGTTTGTCAAGTTAGTTAAAGCCTTTTTGTAGCACTGCAATTATGCCAAGACACGATTTGACTGCTAATAACATGATATTATTTCATTTCTCCTAGTGCCAGTTGTTGCCACTTCACATTTCACTGCTATTGAAACACCAAAAATTAAGCCTTTATGTTTGTCATTGCATGCTCTTAATTGGATAAAAGCAGCCAGGAATGGGTAGTAGAGCAAGGGCAGGTGTATGACAGGAGCTCTGGTCGTGGACAGAGGAAGTGCTCTGAGTAGGATTAAAATCACAGGCTTCCCATTCATGGTGGAGTTTGGAGCTCCTGAGTCACTCACATCCATAGGATTGAGGGGATTACCATATTAATAGTATCCTCAGTTTTTAACACGAGGTTATACATATTTGACTTAATTATGAGTTCATGTGTTATGTTGTCTTTATCAGTGACACAGGTGAATTGTAATGATACTAAAGATCTCCAGCAAATCAATGTAGAATATTGCTGTGTTATAACTGGTTGTATTGTATTTTACAACTTATAGCCATTTGCCTTTACAAATACGTCATAACATAATATATGTCAAATGTCTACTAATAGATTAAGCTGTTTTATTTATTTGCTTAAAAACAAAACATCCAAAGCCCTTAAATTTGATTTCTCTTATTTACATTACTGTATTGAATGTACTTTGACTTTGTTTTTTGTTGTTGTTGTTTTTGTTGTTCTTTATTGGATTTAAAAATAATAATAAAATAAACTGTAAAGAAAAAAATTAACATTTAAAGTACAACAGAAAAAACATTGTATATTCAAAGTACATTCAAAACTCCAACAATATAGCTAAAATAAAACACACAGCCAGGGAGGCAGACTAATAATTATAGAAATAAATGTAAAGTTAGGCATATAGATAAAGTCTTTGTCTTTTTTCTCGTGTTCAAGAATCAAAAACAAGGGTTGGTTTTACTGTATTTACATTTATGTATATGATATTTAGTGAAAATTAAATATAAATAAAACAATGTTTTGGCAACAGGGCCGAAGCTGGTGGGGAGAAAGGTGGTGACGATTATAGGGGCCCACAGCTGTCAGGGGGACCCAGGCAGTTTTAACGGGTTGTCCAGGACCAGTGTGAAAGACACTCAGGACAGTTGATGGACTGCCCGATCGGTCACTGCTGCACTTTTTCACGAAAGCTTATCATTTGCACGTGTTTTTAAGCCTTGCCAAACATTCAAGCGATTTTAAAGCATTCAAGTGCGAAGGAACTTCATTCAGTATTTGCATGCTGTGTTCTGTGTGCATACAGAGAGCCACGCCACACAGCCCGCGACCACATTATTGAGTCTGTTGCGCTTGAATGGACAAATACATAAACAAATTGTCAAAATACC